TTGTCATACATATAATAATGATAATAATTCATAATAATCTATGGAAATAGGAAAAAATAGGAGAAGAAAAATTTGAAAAAAGAAGTAAAAACATAATAATTATTATTATTATTATTATTTAAAATTTCGACAATTGTTTGCCAAAGATTTTGATGATTTTTACGTTCCAATTAAAATTCGATGTAATTTATATTATTATATATGTATATGTGTAATTAGGTTTATCTAAAATTTGAGATAAACTTAATCAATTATTGGTTAATAATTTCAATCAAATAATCGATATAATATGTATACTCTAAATATAGTTGTTAAATTATTGAAATTTCTTAAATACAAATCTAATACATTTAATATATATTTTAATTAATTTATTTTATAACATATACGTGCGTTTACTTTTGTTATTTTTACGCTTGGCAATAATCCATACGATTGAATATAAAAAACAGAAAGTGAGAGAGGAAAAGGTGGAGGTCAAAGACAAACGTAACAAACATCGATTATGTTAATATCATTCGTAGAATTCCAGGAAATTTATTCTTTATTTTAATATGCATAGAAAAATATTCTCGAACGATTAAATAAGGCAATCAAGAGAAGGGAGAGGTGATGATTCCTATTTATGTACACATTTTATTTTCATTAATATACTCATACAAATTCATTAATATAATCATAAAAGAATTTATTCTTATTAAGTTATATTAAATAATATTTTATTACACGATGTGTAATATCTAATTTAAATCTCATTTGATTAACAAAATAATGATGCAATCACATTATCGATCTTATCAATGTCCTTGAAATTATGTAAAATGATTTATAATCAGAATTAGAGTATCCTTATACTCTCTCTCTCTCTTTGTCTAATAAAATTTTTAAACAAAATTTCATCATAGTCTTATTCTTTGTATAATTTAAAAAAAAAAAAAAAAAAACAAATGTTTGCCATGAGTTTTAGAAAAAACTTCATCGTCATCCCATTGAAATCATACTAATTCAATTGTTTTTTATTTCATTATAATTTTTATTTAAATGTTATTCTTTTCTTCTTCTTCTTCTTGTTCTTCTTTTTCTTATTCTTCTTGTGTTTTATTTTCTGTTTTTTTTTTTTTAATTCGAAAACAAAAACAGACAAACATTTTTCACGTTTAAAGGTAGATCAAAAATAAAACGTATAACCCTTTTTATATTTTATTCTATAACCAAACGCGTGGATTAGAAAAAGAGAAGACATTTCTCTTCATTAACACATGCTTCATCAGAGACGGTTAATGAATCACACGCTCGTATATCAACTCACACATATACCCGCGCATACACACACATATATATATATAAATACACGTAAAATGTTTCTTTAGAAAAATTGATTTATACGCGTAGGTGGGGGGAAGAGGAAACCATTGAGAAGGAAAGAAAGAAAGACAGAAAGTAAAGAACCAAAAATCTTTTCACTACTACCTCTCTTTCTCTGTTTCTTTCCTTAAAAAGAATTACTTTACTTGTTGGATAGAAAAAGAAAAAAAGATACAAACATTTTTAGAACGTTTTATCATAAATCGTTAACGGTAACAACCCTTTTTTGTTTTTTCTTTTTAGTTACGTCGAAAAAGCAACACTCTAAGTAACACACACATACACGTATATACATACAAACACGAATCCCTTAACGAAGGGATGACGTTTCCTTTTCGTTCAGAAAATCGTCGATGGGCGTGTTACTCATTCACATAAAAAAAAAAGAAAAAAATTAAAAGAAACCTATCTATACGTATGTGTGTGTGCAGATATATATATATATATAATAAAATTTGATAAAATATAATTATAATTAATAATAAAATATAAATATATTTGATAAAATGTATTTAAAAAACAAGACGAAAAAAATATTAATTGAAATAAAATTAGATTGAAATAAATTGAATTGATTTATAATTAATTAAAATTTAAATAAATACAAGGGAGAGAAGAAAAAAGGAGAAAATTAAATATATCAATAAATATAGGCTGATATAAATGAACGTTTATTAAAAGCAAGCGAGGAAAAGCTTAAAGTATTAGAAAGAAGATGATTGATTTAGCATGAAATGATCTTAAGGGATTTTCGAATATAGTAAAGGCATTTCTTTCTTAGTTTTTTCCGCCTTTGATGATCTGCGACAAGGAGAAGGAGAAGGAGAAGGAGGAGGAGGAAAAGGAGGAGGAGAAACGGTACATACAAACGAATTTTAAAACCAAACGCAGATGACGTCGCTCATCTTCATACCGTACTTCCGGTATACTTATAAGTATAGTACTTTTTTTTATATATGGGAACTACTGGGTACAATTTAAATCAAATATTGTAATCTAAACTTTTATTTGCTTGATTTTCTTGATAATATTTAAATGTACATATTTTATATATAATAAAAATGTAATAATTGAATAATAATATATTTGTGATAACTTTTATCTAATCTTCAAATGTTTCTGCGATGAATTTCGATTAATCATCATTATGTATTGTTGAAGCGCGTCAAAAAATCGTTGAATCATTGAGTCAACTGCTTCTAATATTGATACAAAAAGACATCGCATGTAATTGTAATTGATACAATTTTTATCTTCATAACTATCCTCAGATGTAGTAGATATTTTATATCCTGCTTCTCTCATATTTTGTTTAACATAATTCCATATATAACAACAACCTTCGACCAAAAACTCAATCTTATTCTTACTCTTTACTATAGTAACAGCTGTATTAAATATAAAAATTAATATATCTTTCGAATTTCTAATTCTCTTCAATTCGTTTATGATAATTTTAAAATCTTTAACAACAGGTAGTTTTGTTTTACTTTGACAATTATTACTCTTATAAAAATTAGTTAGTAACATTTCAAGAATTTTTATTAAACTATGTGTGTGAGTATCCTCAGTTGATTGTGAATTCGATTCGTTGATATTTCTTAAAAACGTTGTACCTAATGTAACAATCAATGACATCGGATCTAATAAAGTTATTCCATTTAACATTAATTTTCCTTCTACAAAGTTTAATGAAAAACTCGACGGTGTATCAAATCTATTATTTGATGTTCCTATCACGTCATTTATTGTATAACATTTAAATTGTTGTATAATAGCAGCATTTTCTTCTATTTTATTTGTATTAAATTCTGTACTAGCTTTCTTTTGTGCATACTCATACCGTTGGCGCAAATTCTTATCGCGCAGGTTTCTTTCAAACTCTTTTAATACTAATCCTTGCGTTTCTCTGATTACATCATTAGCAAATTTAATATTTATCACAGAATTCATAAAGAACAATACATGAGTTCCAAAATAAAAGATATCTTGAATATCAACTCTTTTAGATTCGTTATACTTGTTATAAATTTGGACACTTTTATAACCAACGCCAATCAAATTGATGGATATATTGGTTACTATCATAACGTCGTACGCTGTCGTGGCTACTCGACTAACTATTATGCCTTCTGCAGCAGCTTTTTGAAGAAGAACAGTACTACCTTTAAATATTAATCCAACGGTGCATCCAGCTATTCCTAACCAAGCAGATAAATTGCTTTGATCAAATGGACTGATGGATTCGTCGTGTATTGATTTATCATATAATTCTGATGAACATTTCCCAATTGTCCAAGCACCTTGCGCAGTCATCGCTGCCATTCCTATTTGTAATAAAATATGATTACCAAAAAAAAACTAATAATTAATAAAAAGAAATAACTTAAATGACTTGATTTAACAGTAAAAGAGAGATTAAGTTTTTCAGAATTAATTTATATTAACACTGAAAATTTTCTTATTTACCTGCCGCAGCAACTAGTGGACCGACAGGAGTAAAGAGCGATGCAACTCCTATGCCAGCGGTAACAGAAGTGCCTACCGTATTAACTGCCAAGTTAACTGTAGATATAACATGAGCACGACTCGAACATTCATAAGAGTCTTTAGCGATTAACCATACAGTTGAACAATCTGGAGTAATTTTAAAATCAGGATTCGATTGGTAATAACCATCTTTTGGGTAGACCATTGTACACTTTGGAAAATTATTATTCAATATATAATCTTCCCAACTTTTGTATATTCTACCTTGAATATCTAAATACCAAGTATCAAAAACCTCATTTTTATTATTATCATTGTAGTGTTTTATTTTAAATACAGGTACAGCAATTATTTCTTCTTTATCCTTTATTCCACATTGCTGAGTTAATTTATTACGAAAAATCATGTTATATATAATTCCATAATGTATAAAATCGGTATTAGGTTCACTACTATATCGTAAAATCTTTTGTAAAATAACATTTATGATTTTCTCCATTTTAGGACAATAATGAACAAGATCATTTATATCTGTATCGTCTGTTATGTTCTCAGTATCAATAGATAAAATATTATTCGAATCTGAAGTTGATTCGAAAATTGGAGAACCACATATAGCATATCCTATGTTTTGTTTGATTAATTTATAATCATTCTTTTCACATACAGTCCAATCAGGAAGTAATTCATAAAAATTTTGTTGGTAGACAACAGCTTTTTCCAACAATTCATTCTGTTTTATAAAATGTACGTAAAACGTTAACAAAATATTCGTAATATATATTTTGATCAAATTTATAAATAGAATATCATTATACGAACCCACTGCACATCTAAAATGTCGACTTTTGATGTAGATTCCATTTTTTAAGAAAATAAATTCTTTAACTCTTTTCTTCCACCCAAACTAGTCTACGTCTTATTCTAGAATAACGTTGGGCATGACGTGAACAATATTCACTGCAAAAAAGAATCCCCGGATACATGTTTTCCAACTTAAGATAAGATATAACTATACTTTTTATACTTTATATGTTATACATTGAACTCATTTTCGAACGTCACGAAAAATGATAAGTTTTTAAAGAAATGCATTATCTGATTGATAAAGGAGAAATGAGAGATATTAATTAGTCAAGATTTGCGACAGAAAATAGGGAAATATTGAATGATCGAGACCTGCTGACGGTACAGGAAACTTAAGAAATTTCACTTCAGTTGCGTGTGGATCCTATGCGATCTTTTCTTATTGAAACTATTCTATGCTTTTTAAGTTAGGTATGGAAAACGAAGCTCTATATATGAAATATGGCACAGAAATAAACACTTGATGAATTTTGATATAATCAATTGTGAAATAAAGTATTAAGTATGTTAATATAGTATGGATTATCAAATAAAATATATTATCTTTCACTAGAATCTATTACCATAAATCATATGTCAATTTAATATACGAATAAATGTACTATAATCGTTTTGATAGTTAAAATATTATGTAAATCAAATCAAATAGTAAATATTATTGTTTATTTATTGTATCAATAATTTAGTAATTATTCTTAAATATTAAATGACGATAAAACTAATTTAATCTATACTCTTTAAGAATTTTCTAATGAATTATTTTCTATATATGCTTTGTTGTACATTATCGTTGCTATGGTTAAATTGATCCACTTGTATAAACCCAATAGAATTCTTTTTACTTATTATACATAATTCTTCTAAATCATGTTATAATATTGTAATTAACATTTGAATAGAAAAAAAAATGACATTAACGCTTTCACGTGTTGATTATATTTCTGTAGGTGTTACTTCTCGTGGTACAACCAAAATTTTTCCTCTGACAGATCCAAAACAAACTCAAAAGTTTGCTGTTGCTGATCATGATGGTATACTTCAAGTATTTGGTAAATCATCTAACTCTTATTATTTTTAATAAATTATACACAAAATAATTGATATACAGAACTAGATATAGATATTATCTATTATAGATAATAGATCATATACAGAAATATAAGACAAGATGGTATTGATTGTTTAAAACAGGTACAAAAAAAGGAGAATTACAAGCGTTATTCAAATCACTACCCGGACCAAAGATTAATAAAATGATTCTTGGTGGTTCATATGGAACACCGAAAGATAAAATTTTTGTTGCATATGAAAGTTCTGTTAAAGGTTTTACCAAAAAAGGAAAATTATTTTTAGAATTCGATACTAGTCTGTTGGATCCTATTTCTGCTTTGTAAGTTGAATCATTAATTACATGTTTCTAATAATTTATTTCATTTACAATAAAACACTAATTTAATGCATGTATATGTTTATACGGTAGAAATTTAAAGAGTAGTAAACATATACTATATTAGTCGACATACACAGAGTTGATGCTTTTATTACAATATATTCTACGTATTCATGAAAAATGACTAACAAATTCTTTATATGTAATATATTGAACAGATATGTGCTTGGTCCAGATTTAGCAGCCTGTGCTCGAGATCTTTATCATAGATATCATGATTGCAAAGACGCTGATTCGTATTTGGCTGGTGAAATATTAAATGATGTTGTACTCTTACCTAGTGACAATTCTATGGTATATGCTATTCTCGCTTGTGGTGATTGTGCAGTTAGTATTATTAAAAGAAAAATCATTGAGAAAATGATTAATATGTCTAATCTCTCTCTCATTGATATAAAGAATAATATTTATCTAAAATTTATTTTTATATTATTTTAGGTACGTGTCTTACATGGAACAATGAGGCCAACAGTTTTAAGATTGCCAAGTATTCCTACTGTGCTTGCTGTATATAGGTTCTGTTAATAGTCTATATAATTATATTAATAATTGTTCAATGAATATTTTTGATTATTAAATAAAAATCTTAATTATCGTAAATTATATTAAGCGTAATATTAATATTTACTTTGTTGATTCTTTTTTTAGGGATAAAGAAACAGAATCAACAGAACGTGTATTGTTAGGTACTATCGATGGTAGAGTTGGTTTATTAATTCTTCAAGGAAACAAAACGTTAAGGATTACTTGGTTGATTAATTCTATGGGATCTGAAATAACTTCTTTGGATACATTTCAATTGCAAGACGATGTGGATTTACTTATCGGAAGACAGGATGGAATCATTGAAGTATATACGTTTCCAGATGAGGATACATCGCCGTTTTTACGTTACCGTTATGTAAATATTACATATTTATCTGTTGTAGTCTTCATATAATAAAGGAGCATAAAATTATTTAATATCAAACAAAAACAATATTGTATAGAATGCTGGTGAAAGTATTAGTACAGTTATTGGTGGAATCATTGGTGCTGTTGGTTATCCTGAAGTTCTCGTTACTACTTATTCCGGTCGAATATTTGGTTTAACTACTAAACCACCTGGATTATTAGAAGCTGGGCAAAGTGATACGGTCATAGCAAAATTGAAACTTGAAATACATCAATTGGAAGAAAAACTTGCAGAAGAAAGAGAAACGACTAAATTTACGGCTGATCCTTTAGCGCCTTTAATATTGGCTGTGAAACACAGGTAACTTGATTATCTTTCATTTTTCATTGTTAAAATATACAAAATTATAATTGTAAATTATTTTTAGAATGGTTTTACATGAAGAAGACGCATCGTATTCACTTTCGGTAGAATTGGATACATCGATAGATAATATTCTTATACAATCGGATACACCGATAGTTTTGTTAGATGTTGAAAATAATAGCGCAGTAGTAAGTCTATCTATGTGCAATCCGAAAGAAGGAAACTTTATACTTGCTACATACAGATGTCAAGTATATACATTTTACATACATACATATGTATATATTTATTATTAACCGTTTGGCTACCTGAGGATTTTCAAAAAAAAAACGATCGAGAAAAGCTAAGTGACGTTAGACCACCATCAATTGTTTGTATTGACAAAATACGCTAGCATTTTTCTACAGGAAATCTGAAGAGCATAAAAGCAGCCTGTGGTAGCCAAAGGGTTAAGATATATTTTTAAATACTTATAGTTTGATATAAATTGTAGATTAATACTAATCGACTAGAAATGAGATTAAGAACTATCGAAGGCCAACCGGGTACTTTACAAATTTATGTTACATCGCAGGTATCACATTTAAATTTATCAAAATCTAAAAATATTACTTTTCAATAATAAATAATTATATTTATATTTGATTTTATAGGTACAACCAAAATGTTGTCGTAGAATATTAGTACCTATATATGCTTTATCATCACATAAAAGACAACACATCGAGGATGCAGAAACATTGGCAGGAGGACCTTTTAACGAATTAAGATTGAGTGGTAATTTCACAGTTGCTGAGGTATCAAAAAATTATTAATGATAATATAAATGTTTTATCATCGTAATGCATAAAATATATTCTAATGTAATTCATTTTTCAGATGCACGCATGGCTTTCTCTTGTATTACCCGATATTCCTGAAAGACCTCATTTATATGACAATGAAGCTATTTTAATATATAAATCCTCTTTTATTGAAACAATATTGAAGTGTAAATATAAGTTAGTTAATAATTCTTTTTATTCTTTTTTTTTTTTTTTCTTATAGATAAAAAGTTAAACAATTTCAGCATTTCTTTTTTTATTTTTTATTTTATTACAGAAAAGGAAGCGCTATATTTTTGGGAGAAAATATATCGACCATCATTATACTTAGAGATATATTGACAAGAGAAGCAACTAAAAGAAAAATTAAATTAGAAGTATTTTGTGGTAAAAATATTTATTTGATTGATAGAAATTAGTCCTATAAAGACATATTAAATATATTATATATTTATATATTTTTTAATTTTATTATTTTTAGATGTTGCAATTGGCAGTATTTCAAGAGTATTAGAACTTGTAAAACCACAATTGGACGCTGCGCATGAATTAATTGAAAAAATTAAGATTTTAGATGCTCTTGAAGAATTTGAATTGAAGACTAATCCAAAAGATAATTTGCGTTCGCAGTATCAAGATTTAATAGCAAATGAACAAAACATTAGATCACAAATGGCAAAGGATACAGAAGTTTTAAACAGATTACATGGCGTTATAACAGATTTATACGTCGATTGGGAACGGGCTAAAGGAGCTCGCAGGTAACATTTAATTAAATTATTATTCATTTTGTATACAATTAATTATCATTTTTTTTTAAATAGGATTAGTAGTAAATCGGCAGCTGAGAAATTAAACGATTCGCTTGAATCAAAAGATTTCGTTAAACTTTTACAAATTTTTACCGGAAAGGTTATTTCTCCGTGAAATATTTGAACTACGGAAAATAATAAGAATTCAAATAAAATATATACAGGGTGTCCCAGGATTTATTGGTCAAACTGTGAAAGCATATTCTACAAATGGAAATAAGAAAAAAATGTTATTTGATAGTTCGTTTATTACAAAGTAAAATTGTGCACTTCTGGGACACCACTATATGTATTTACATGTATATGTCTATGTGTGGGTGAATAAAAAGTGGACCAACAGATTTCTAGAAACATCTCCAAGTAAAAAATATATTTTCTTATATATAGCTATCATTAATTAACCATAAAAATGTACATATGCATTATCCTTGAGAGCATAATTAGTTACAATATGTGTATATATACATACAGTTTATATTTGTGTATATATATGTTAATATATTTCTAATTGTGTGTATATTTAAATCGATATACAATTTTTTCTTTTTTTTTTTTTTTTTCTTTTTTTGTTTATTCTTACTATGTACTTTCCACAGTTAAATATAAATTACAAAGTTCAAAAGAAGAAAAAGATAATATTATTATAGAAAAAATTAAAGTTATTTTCGCGTAATATGCAATTAAAAGATTAAAATAAAGAATTATTTTGGTTCTTATTCGCATCCATCTTAATTATTGAAATATATTTTCTTACACGCACAATTACGTAGATGAAAATTATACAACGTTCTTATTATTTTATTTGTCATTATTAATTACATAAAAAAGTATTGCCTGAAATGTAAAAAAAAATAAAATGAAAAAATGATTTTGAATGTCAACTATTTATATATATGTATAAAAGAATATTTTTGAATGAATATTTATCAAATTATTTTGAGAAAGGAAGTGTAATAATACATACATATTATCGGTCGTACGAACAACAGCTTCTAAAGGATCTCTGTCGGAATTTCCATCCGCTGTTGTTGTTACTGTATATTCCAAAGTTTGTCCGCCAGCGTGTGGTAATATACTTTCAGGATTATCATCTGGTAGAACAATTTCTACAACTCTGGTAGTACCTTCTACTTCACGTTTTAAATCTCTCATAAAATCTTGAATAATTTTAGATTGGGCACCTTTATCGTTATCCTCTTCAATATTTTTCCCCGTCATTATTCTATTTAAAGATCTATCTGATCTTCCTCGAGAATGCGTATTCAAATGTCTATTCATATCACTTCGTACTCTGAATGGTTTTCCGCAAACTGTACAAGGATGTGGCTTTTCACCAGTGTGTATACGACGATGATTTTGTAAGTAACTACTCGCTCTAAATGTTTTATTACAGTATTCACAACAATAATTCTTTTCCCCTGTATGAATGCGTCTGTGAACTATTAAAGAATATTTCCTTGCAAAATCTTTACCGCAATATTCACATTGAAATTGTTTTTGTTCTGAATGAATACTGGTCGAATGATATTTAAGATCACCCCATTGTCTAAAATGACGACCACATTCTTCGCATTTATATGGCTTATCGCCACTATGAAGACGCTTATGTACCTACGAGATTAATTATTACATCGATATAATTAATTATTATTAATAATAGTACAGTAGCAAATTAAGCAGGATCCCGAGGTTTTAAAATTTATTTTCATATTTTTGAAACCTTTCTTTTTCTAACTTTAGTTTAAGAATCCCAAAATATTTACCACTTGGGGCCTCTACTTAACTTGATTCACCACTGTAGTAGTAATAGTAATAGTATTAGTAATGATATAATTTATTAACCCTTTTGATACTACCAATGATAATAATTACTCATCACTTAACGCTCTGTATTCTATTGATGACTAGATATATAGCATTGGCTTATAATTTTTTAAATGTATTACATTGTAATATTCAATTTTTTTTATCTACTTTACGATAAAATTTATGTTCCGTGTTACAACTGGCTTATACAGTAAAATCTTATTTGTGATGCAAGTATCCATACAGTGAACAATATAACTGTATCGAAAGAATTAAACACCGCGTTATCGTAATATTCATTATTTTTATTTACCTTCAAAGCACTAGCAGCAAAGAAACTTTTTCCACAAACTTCACATTGATGTGGTCTTTCACCACTGTGCGATCTCATGTGATAAACAAGACTATTCTTATGATGAAATGATCGATCGCATTGAGGACATGTCAATTCGTCATCTAAAATTAATTAAATTTGTATTCGTTAAGTTAATTCAATATTTTGATAATATCATCTATGTTCAATCAAAAGTCACTAATCCAACATTTATAATAATTTAGAAAATGTATGTCTTTTGTTAATCCTTTCACACACTACTATTAATGCTTTTTATGGATATATATTTTTTATTATACGTACTTGATTTCCGTGCTTTCAAAGTTTTCTTTTTCTTTGCTGTCTGTGGGATATCAGTCTTTTCCTTTTCATGTAAATTTTGTTCTGTAGTCGTAGACGTTCTTACATGGTCCCTCTGTACGTGATCAGTCACATCGGTAATAGCCCACAACATCGATTCATTGTTTGTATTTGATAAAGGAGATTCCGTTTCATCGTTAATGTGGGCTGCAGTTTCTTCAACTGATAAAAATAATGAGAATATATTTTCATAAACGAATAAAAAAAGAATATTAATAGAACGCAAAATGATTATACTTACCTACACCTCTTATTCCTTCCATAATATCTTCTGGTTCGCTAAATTCTTCTATCACAGTATTTTCTAGGCCTTGTACCGTTTCCGGTACCGATATCGTGATACTAGTATTTGTTGCTTGAGCTATTCTAGTCTCTTGTTTAACTGGTTCGTAATGTACCTAAAAAGTAATTAATTAATTAATTATAGAATATTTTAAACAGGTATAATCGGACAAATGTTGAAATAAAAAAAAAGAAACCGAATAGTTTACCTTCAAATGTTCAAAAAATTTTAATTGGCTACCATATCTAGAGCCACACAATTCGCATTCGAATACGTGTACTTGCATTTCATTTCTTTGTTCGACATTTATAGAATCTTGATTAGATTTACCGGTATCTTTTTTAGTTGCATTTTTTTTACTTTGTTGTTTCAATTTACGAGGAATTCGTTTTTTATGCGGTAAAGAACGTTTAGGTCCGGGAGTCAATGTTGTATCTTCGCTACTTTCGGCCGATACATTAACATCGTATTCACTTTTGACATTAATAAATTCTTGTTTAATGCTGTGTCCTATTCTCTTAAAAGATTGTAAAGTTGGATAAATAGTGGGTGGATTTGGTTCGGGTACGGTTTGTATGGAGTAACTGTTGACAGGTCCTAATGTTTCTAAATGTGAAACGTCTGGCAGTGCTGAATCTTCATGCTGCGATTGACCATGAAGTTGTTGATGTTTTTGTTGTTGTTGTAATTGAACAGCAACTAAAGCTGCCGCTAACTTTCGATCTTCCTAGTAATATAAAAAAAAAAAAAAAAAAAACAAAAACAAAATATATATAAATAAAATTACATTTATATATATTTATATATATAAATTACATACACAAAAATATTAATATGTTATTACTTCTGTTAATTCGTGAGGCAACAAATCAGCTTCGTAATATTGCGTTGCAGCACCATAATCAGTACCAACGCCAGCATTAATCATATCAACTACCATTCGGTCAGAAATTAAATCTCCGTTTAATGTTATCAGAGGTACACCCTTGCTCATCGATTCCCCATCTGCTCTTTGTATGGTGATGTACTGATCACCTTCCATACCTTCTAATAATACAGCTTGTGCATCTTCCGTTGTCACTTCCATAGTAGTATATATTATATCTATATTTATATGGATATATAATATGTATGTGCGTGCGCGTCTACTATTATTTGAAAAAATAATTTTCAAAATTTATTGTTGATCCATCTGTGTGTGCGAGGTAAATATTTGTACCTGATAATAATAAAATTATTAGTAACATAATTTTACTAATTAAAATAATCTCTTTTAATCGACATTTTATATATTATTTAAATCAGGTATGTAATATTTATACTATTAAATAATACAAAAAATTACTGTACCTACAACAGGTTATTGATGTTATGTTGTTATCGACAAAAAAAGTGATACAGTCTTTTCTAATTTCAATTTAAAATTGTAATAATTTGTACCATTGTAAAATAATAATATTAAACTAAAGTTAATTATTTCTATGTTATTAAAATGACCATTTTTTAATATTTAATATGAATCGTGAATATTTCTAATGATATTACTAGCATTATTAGATGCATTTACTTATTTAGCTGATTTTTGTTACATTTTTATGTTATAAATTATAAAAATTATATTGCAAAATATAAAATTGTTTAAATTTGTTCTTTTTTTCTTTTAAAAATAAGAAAATTTTAACATACAGTTAACGTCATATTATCAAATTGAAAGTAAATTAAGATTTAAATTGCGCGCCTTTATGAGATCAGAAATGACAGAGAAACCAAGGTCACTGCACTCAGTGAACACACGACAATTTTCAATACTTGATTCACAAATAACAGTAATAAATTTGCCTTTCTCCATCTTTTATTATTCACCTTCTATAGTCCAAATTTATGTTGTGCCCATTTTCTTTACTATTTAGTTAACATAAATAAATCAAAATATTGAAACACTGTAGAACAAAATGTGACAACAGTGCTTGTGTCCTGACGCCATTAGAACGGATGTTACACTTTCACGCCACCTGTCTAATAACTATTAATACACGTTCCTAATAAATATAACAATTATTATTGTTCATCCTTTCTTACGTTATTTACTATCATTTTAAACATATACATTTCTTCCAAAAAAATTAACATTCGTAAAAAAATTCATTCGCATAAAAATTTTTATTTAACCAACAAAATTTATTTAATCATTATATTACATATATATATATCTAATTTGTTTAAAAAATTTAAAAACGAGGAATTTATTATATTACAAAAAGTTCACTATTAGAAATTAAAATAATAAAAAGTATTCATTGCAGCAACGAAACTCGTTTTGATTAGACGATTCTCCCGGTATTCGTAAAATGAACCAATAGAAAATGAGTATACGAACAAGATATTCGATATATTGAAGATAAATACAATCGATATATAACGATATCAACTATTACATAATCGTATAATTATAATGATACTAATAATTATTAAACAAATTGCATAATATTATGCATAGATAAATCAACCAATGAAATAATCTTGACAAAATAAAGTGACCAATGAGCTTTCACCAAGACAGTTGTATCAGCGAATGAAAACAAAGAAAGCACGCGATTAGTCTATTCCGTTTATAGATAAAATACTCTTCGATATTGCAGTTAAACAAAAGTATTAACGTATCGGTAATCATACAATTGTATTGTTTATGATAAAAAACAGCGAGCCAACGTAGCGCCGCGATAGCTCGTAGGAACTCCGTGCCAAGCAATGGAGGCTCGTTTTCAATAAAGAATTCCCTTGATTGTACGAAATGTGTTTTTGAGTGTGTGAAAAGTGTAGTTTTCGTGTGATAGTGAGACTTCCTCAGATATTAACGCCACTGCACACGCTGCCGTAGGTGAGTTTCATTTAAATAATAATCGAAATCTATATATGATATATACCGTTAAATATATCGAACAAATTCGCTTCTACGCATTCTTGTGATCATCATTTCGTGTCGCGTAGTACGTATTTCAAATATAAATATAACCGACATATATATATATATATATATATGCATATATGTATATACATACGTAAGTGCATATACGTTTTATATATATGTAAATATATATATATGTATATGCACGTATATACATATGTGTACATGATGTATATATGTATAGGAGTGTGTAAGCGCGAATAGGATTCGTATGGCGTTGAAATAGAAAACGTAGGACCCAGTAACTTACGTAAGATGTTTTTAAAACTGTAAACTCTATACTGTACGTTTGATTTCTAATACAATTACGAGTTACTTCCATATTGATGTGAACGTTTGACCTTAAAGGGAAATATCTCTGTTGTATCTAACTATAATATGTGTGTAGTATGTTTAAATATATATATATTTCTTTTTTTTTTTTTTTATTAATTTTTAATTTATAAATAATATCAAATATATTAGAAATATATTTGAACGGGAAAAAGAGAGAGAAAAAAAAAGGAGAAAAAAAATAATAAAAAAATAATTCGACCTTTCTGAGAGTATGCATTGGTATAAGAATACGATTTAGGTGTGTATGCATGTGTGTATGTGTTGGAGCGAAAGTGACAGGGCATACACTACCATAATTTTTATATGAATACCATAAAAGAAAGAGAGAGAGAGAAATAAAAAGAATAATGCAAATACGATTTTACTATTAACATTTTTATGTTTTATTAGCAAAACAAAAATATTGATTATTAAATATTTAATTGGAATAATATTTTATATTAGTTTTCAATATTGTTTCTTCTCAATGAATACAAATAGTTTACGGGTTATATTATACATAGTATAATATTTGTAATTTATGTATGTAATAAGAGAGAAGCAATTAAAATGATAACAAATGAAATCAGTAAGTATATATGAAATCAATATAGTATGTTTTTCTTATCTTAAAACATGTCACTTCCAGGAAGAATTAAGATTCGAGTGATAATATGTTGTAATAAGGGATCTTGATGTAAACGTTAAAAGATAAATAAATAGATAGATAGATAGATAGATAGATATAAATGTGACTTTATTTTAAATTGATAATTCCTGATATTGAGTATTAATATTACGAGTAAATGTTACAAATGTGTAATCGAGTTTATGCAGAATGATACATATATTTTAAATGATTTGAAAAATTGAATAAATTTCATTTAATTTTTTCTTTTTTTTTTTTTTTTTTTTTTTTTTTTTCTAAACAGAGATAATTATCTTTAATCAATCAATACCGATAATAAATAATATTAGTTAAAATAACGATATGTTCTTCCCCCGTTAAGATGGCGGGAAATTTAAAAGCAAAATATTGAATTTGATTACACGAATTTGTGTACGTTTGTATGTAGTATTATAGCATATATATATATATATACATTGTAATATAAGATTCAAAGTGGTATGCTTTTGAGATGAGCTATTTACAAATTTATCGTAGTTTCCGGCATACCGATAAATAGGGGTCAAACGTCAACGCCCGTTGTTTGCTTTTCTTTTTAGTAAAAGTAGCAACCTTCTTTTTTATGCTACACAACTTTATTTGGTAACCCATTTTGACTATTAATATCTACTCCTTTCTTTTTTAACTTTATTATATATATATAAAACATTTTATATTGGTATTATACATATATTTTTTATTCATGCATTTATCATTACATTCATATATTTTATCAGTATCATAATATATATATACAGTAAGATATATTATACAGTAGAATCTTGATTAACCAACATGATCAAGGGGTCAAACCAGGCGGATAAATGAAAGTTCAACGGATAATCGAATCTAGGGTGGAATTATTTCAAATGTATTTCTTTATATGCTTGTGTATAAAATATTGTATTGAATATATATATATATATATTATACAATATTATTTATATTATATATCTCTGAATATATACATTTTTATCGCTTTATCAATTTAATACTAAATTCGTGTCATTTTTATTCTGCAAACTTTTTATTCTTTATTTAATCTTTTTTGAAAGTAAAGTAATAACTGAGAATAAAATTGAAAAGGAAACGTGAATAACGTAATTATTATATTGAATAAAAATATGATTATTATTATTGTATATATATCTTTAATAACTAATTAAAATAAAATTCTAATTAAAAAAAGTTAAATCTCAATACACATTATTAAAATATAGGAAACAATATACTCACTCATTCTTTCTATCTCTCTTTCTTTTACCTTTTATTTCTACAACACCGCAGGTTTTTAAAAACAAAATAAAATTAAAACAAAAAGAAAAAAAGAGAGAGAGAGAGAGAGAGAGAAAGAAGTTAATATATCCCAACTTAATTTATTACCGGCTTGGAAAAAACCACGAAACATTGATTTCTACTTAATAAATAAAAAAAAATAAAAAGCAATACAAAGTACTGGGGTCGTCGTGGTATGCAATGTAAAACGTAGATGCATGTATGCATGTATGCATGCATTCCACCGTCCGACGACCGATACTTATTTAACTTATTTGTGGTGGATTTTATAAATAGCATTATTTTCGACTAAAATGTGTAGCGGTAGTAGCAGAGTGTAACAGTAACACAACACCACCACCAACAGATCAAGTATGTGTGTATGTATGTAGTAGCATCTTCATCATGATCATCATCATCATCATCATCATCATCATGATCATCTACGATCGCATATGTAAACGATGATCGAGCGACACAAATAGACAACGCACAAAAGAAGATGCACACATTACATATATATGTTTGTATATGCGCGTGCTCGCGCTTGTATGCATATATGCACGTGTATGCATTCGACGAGTACAACCGCTAGAAATAAGATTAAAATCGATCAAATCCTTCCGTAATACGCTAAGTATTACAGCATCAACTCGATAAGGTAGGATTTCCAATAAAAACAACAACAACAAACATAACTCTAAACTAAATTATAATATGTTAATTAATATAATCTTTATTTTCATTTTATATATATATATATTGATTAGTTATGACTAATATTTTATAAATATGAAAATCAATTGGACGCGTTACATACATTTTTTTTTTTATGTATACATAAAATATAGATATGTTTATTTATGATGATAAAATGTTGTGTAATCAAATAATTGAGATTAAAGGTATTGGCATAAATAAATTTCAAATTGCAATAACGTTTTAACGGTAAAACAGGAAGGATGATAAGTCGTGTCAATTTACAAGGAATACAATGGGGATTCGATGTGTGAGGAAAGTTAGATTATTATATTGAATACTTTTGTGGCTATTTATTTTCGTTGTTTTGTGATCATCATTGTTGCAATATCTTGCGTTACATTACACATCCTATTATTTTTCTTTATTTTGAGATGTAATACATATCAATATAAATTACACGAGACATTTATTTTGTACAAATTAAAGAAGAAGAAGAAAAAAAATAATAATAATAAAACACGAACAATATCTTATTTTTATTATTTATATTAACTCTATTTCAAGATGGCGAACTACCACAGAAGTTACATCCCTTATTTCTATTAAGACATACACTAAACATAAGATTACTTATTTTGTGCAAAAATAAATAAAAAAAAATGATTAAACAAATATACATATTATTTTGTGCAAAAATAAACAATATCGCAAGTTAGATATCAAACATTAATTAACTACTTAAATTGTATCTCTCAGAGTCAAGATGGCGGACCACGCCAATTACCCATCTGCCCCACTTCAAAACAAAATCTAACATGTCTTCTAAAAAAAAAAAAAGAAAAACAAAGAACATCGAATATAGAAAACATTTGAATGAAAATAATAATAAATTGTAATAGTAATTTGTGTGCCATATTGTCGTCGTCGTCGTCGTCGTAAGTTTGTGAACGATTAGTTCGAATAAACGCGGTTAAGCTGTGTGTTGCGCGGCTGTCGCAGTAGTTATATACAAGAGTTTCGTAACAAATATATGTCTGGGATAAAATAGTTAGGGGAGAGAGGGTCGACCTTGCCCCGCAACTCGCTGACTGCTTGTTGCCAAGCTACACCGTATATATAGACCAGTACTACTCCGCGTATACACACGTCAAATCTTTACGCGCACGCGACACTCGTATTTACTATTACACACACTACTAACTATACATGCAAATGCATTACACATACATCGATTGTTGTCGTGTCGTCGTCGTCGTGAGAGAGAGAGAGAGGTGTACTCATATAAAAATGAGCACACTCTTCAAAGCTTACTTTGTATGCATCTACATACTTGTTTTTTATCCGTCCATGTGTGTGTGTGGGTGTGGGTGCGGGTGCACATATAAATCTCTTGTACCATTTAACACCACTCCGTTGACGTTACTTATACGTAATATTTACATTTTACGCTGTTAGATTTAATTATTTGTTTTAATATCCAAATGGTAATACGTTACTTTATTATCAAATTTAGGGATATTTTTTGAGTTGTGGTAGAGAGAGGGGGTTAGTGTTGTTAGGGATAAAATTCAAATATCAATTTCTTCTTCTTCTTCTTCTTCGGAGGAGGAGGAAGAGGATCTTTGAAAGATGGTAGCATATGTATTATACTTTACTAGTCTATTTTACTTGAAAATGAACGTTTAAGCGAACACTTAAGCGTGTTACTCTAGAACCAAGCGAGGGTAATGATATTATTCCCTTCAAAAAGGTTATAATGGGGCCGAAGTAATCGACCTTTCCAACATTGCCACGAGAGAGAGAGAGAAAGAGAACAACGTGTATATATTGGGGATGCTTGAAAACTATAATATCCATAACAGCTAGGTAAAAAATATGATTATGATAAGAAGAAATATTTGATAAGTTCTTTTCGTAGGATTTTTATCATCGCGCGATGGTAAAGATATTAATA